CCGTGTCCGGGACGCGAACCGCGGTCGACTACGTGGGAGTCCAGTGACATAGCCATTATGCTAACTGCTGGTTCCCGCGCCCGGCGTGAGTTTTAAGCCACCGGGTCTGGAACTCGAACCTTGGTCGACTACATGGGAGTCCAGTGACATAGCCATTACGCTAACTGCTGGCCCCCAACTTTTTTTTTCATAATACACATTCTCCACAAACTTTCTGAAGACCCCTTGTGTGTTGCCACCCCTTTAAATCCAGGAAGGCCTGTGACTACAACAGAAGTGATTCTATGTGACTTCGAAGTCCAGGTGCTAAAGCAAAACAGCTTCTTCCTGGCTCTTTCTCACTTAAGACATATGTCTCGAAATCCCTGGGCCAGCATGCAAGAAGTGTGGTTACTGTGAAGCTACCCTGCTAGAGAGATCATATTAAAAGTGATTGTTATCACAGAGATAGAGAGAGAGGCCCAAGGAGTACCAGCTAGACCAGACATGTAAGACTTCAAATGACTCCAGCCCCCAAAACTGTGAACCACAGTGACACCAAAAGAAGCAGAGATGAGACATTTTCATCCAGTCCTGTCAAGATTTCAGATTCATAGACAAAAGAATACAGTTGCTTTAAGCCTCTACACTTGGGGTGATTTTACATGCAGCTATAGTATCTGGAGCATAGCCTGAGGCTGTCTGCCCCTAGCTATGAAAAAGAGTTGAGACGATCAGACACAATCCGAATCCTTGGAGAATTTGGTTGGCTGGGTCTTGTGGAATGTTCCTTACTCTGTCTTAGAGCACCTTGTTTATGCCTATATTTTTCACTATCTGCAAAAACTACATTGTTTTTGTCTGGTTTCCCTCTGTAGCTAACATATGAGCTAGTAGACTCTAGTATTGGGTAATCAGGAAAACTATGACACATTTTTGCATAGAAAACCATGCAAAACATGCCATGACTTTCTTGATGAACCAATAGATTATTTGCCGAAAATGGCCTCAGCTTTTGCCCCCAACCCCATATCTGTGCCTCTTGCTATGTGGCTTTGCAAATCCTCCCATCAAGAGGAATCTTTTCCTTGCTCTTGAATCTGGGCTAGGTTGTGACTTGCTTTGGCCAATGCCCTGTAGCCAAAGTGACTGCTCTAAGCCCAAGATTCAAGAGACCTTGCTTCTGGTTATTATGTTGGAACACTTATTCAAGCTAGTTGGCTGGGAAATAAGACTCATGTGGCCCATTCATTCCCATCACCTCAAACCAACAACTAGCCAACTCCGAGTGGCAAGCAGAGCCACCTAGCTGACTTGCAACTGACCACAGATGTATAAAAGAAGACAAAAATCCCAGTCCAGATTGCCAACTGCAAAATAATGAGCTAAATAAACAGTCGATATTTTATGACACTAGATCATGGATTGCTTTATTACAAAGGTTAACTGATAGAAAAGCTAACATTGTAATTTTTTAGAATTATTTATTGAATTTTACTTTTTCATTTATTTTAATTTGACCAGAGAGAGGCAAGGGAAAATGAGAAAGCAAGCCACCAAGTCTGAGACTCAAACTGTGGTCAGCCATGTGCGAGTGTCCAGCACCTTAACCAGCAAGCCATCTGCTGGTCCCAGAGCTAACACTTTCTTAAGTGGGTTCAATTGATTCTCCTTTCACCTACATTTTGCCCCTTCTTAATCCCAAAAAGCAAACAAATCCAAGTCCAAGTTTAATTTGCATTAGGAAAGTTTTATTAAGAAGTCAGAATCAGGTAGGGAGTGGGATTATCCCAGGTGAGACAGAGCAAGGAAGGTCTCCCCAACCCTGAGGTTATCAAAGCCAAGCAGGGGAGGGAGCCAATGGGCAACCAGAGGCACAATGCCAAGTCAGTCCAGTCCCAAACAGGCATCAGGGCTTGTTGCCAACTACTCCTGGTGTCCAGGTGCAATGAGCAGTCTTCCTCCAGGGTCTGTCTTTTTGGCGGATGCTCAGCTGGAGATGGGCGGGGCAAGTTTACAGGTGCTCTAGTATCTGTAGCCTGTGGGGAGATGAAAGGAAGATGAGAATGAGAAAACAGGACTCCAAGCAGGAGACAGAGAGCCTGGGATCTGGAGAAAGATAAGGAAGCTGGGAGCAAGGAGCCAGGAGCTCCAAGAGCTGGAGAATCCTGAGCTGAAAGAACCTTGGGGTCACCTAACCTAATCCAATTCCTGAATCTCTCCTGCAGCACCCTGGGCAGATGCTCTACCATTGTTAAAGATGAGGAGCTCAGCTCATGAGACAGCCCCCTTTCTTTGTTAGTAAACTCTCTGTATATGGAGGCAGAGATGGCACCAGCCTCACCCCTCGAAGCACATCCATGTGCCACTAGACACACAAAACCATACCAAAGACCCTTTGAAATGACAGATCCAGGTACCATAAGACTTCTCTGAGCTAAACATTCTCAGTCATAGTGACCAGTCTTTTTCTATCATTTCATATTTAACTTTTGTTTTATGAAATTCAATGTGTACTTGGAGAAACTTTCCCTAACCTAAAGATCACCTCGCTTGTGTGATTCCTTCTTGCATAGATTAGTATGTTCTTTATATGCTCCTTTGGTCTATTTTTTAATTTGCCAGAGGGACATGCACTTGCCAGAGAGTGATAGAGAAGGAAAGGGATATCAATGTGGTAGCACTGCATTCCTTCACCATTTCTCCATCCCATCAGGATTTTTGGCACTCGCTTACATGTTCCTGGTGTGGTTTTCAATCCACTGGAGCCAGAATTCAAACTGTGGTCAGTCATGTGGGATCCACCTGCCTTAACTGCTAGGTTGCCCTTTTATATGATCCTTTTGGTAATTGTGTCATGTAATGCATGTACAAGCCCATGACCAACTAAAACCCCTGAATCTCTTTCTGCCTGACATGTTGCATATCCAGCTCTCCCATCCTCATGATGGCTAAAAGTAATGACTATGGAGCCTCATTTATGAGTCGTGTGACCTTGGGTAGGTTATTCTTTTTTCTCTGAACCTCATTTTCCTTATTTCCAAAAATAAGGATAATAATAAAAAAAAAAAACCTTACTTCATAGAGTGTGGTGGGAAATAAATAAGATAGCACACAATTTTAACCCATCTCTTATGCTACCGAGGCTCAGATCATAGATATATCGCTGGTAGCCTTATCCAAGGCTCTGTCAAAAATAATCAATTCAGATGCAAGGACAGGTCTATGGCACTTCATTAGAGATCTCTCTAAAATCTAATTCTGTTTATAACATATATTCTCCAGAGAGGATCAAAGATACTCAAAAAGATAACACCTGTCTCTTCTCCCCACCCCACAACCTAAAGTTGTGTCTCCCCCTACCCACAACCTAAAATTGTCACTTACTTTGCGTATCATCGTAGTTGCCAGATTTTGAGGACTGTGACTGGGATGACTTTCCACTTCCTCCTCCATAGCCACTACCACTTCCTCCTTTGGATCCACTTCCTCCTCCATGGCTGCCACCACCACTTCCTCCTCCAGATCCACTTCCTCCACCATGGCTGCCACCACCACTTCCTCCTCCAGATACACTTCCTTCTCCATAGTGGCCTCCACTTCCTCCACCATGACTGCCTCCACTTCCTCCACCATACTGGCCTCCACTTCCTCCTCCATATCCACTTCCTCCCCTGGATCCTCTTCCATAACTGCCCCCACTTCCACCTCGAGACCCACTTCCTCCTTGACTTCCACCTCCAAATCCAATTTGTTGAGCTCCAGAAGATTCACTGAGAAAGAAAGAAAACACAAAAAAAAGTGAGCGATTTCCATACATATACAAAAATATATCTGAACGAAGTCAAAACGCAAATATGAATCTTCCTGTTTTTCTTCCTGGGAGACAGAGGACAGAGGTTTGTGCCACAACTAGAAGGGGAGAGCCTCCAACCAGTACTTTGAAGCCTTCGCCTCCCTGAAACAGGTAGATAGCCCCTTCTCCCATTATCATCATCCTCCTTTCTGAAAGCCCTGTGCTCTTGGATCCCTCCACAGGATAAAAGAGTCCTTAACCTATTAGACCCTGGTAAGTAAAACTTCCTCAGTTGCCTATAGACAGAGAGAAAAGCAGTATCCGAGGTCTAGGGATTCCTATGGGTTCCACAGAATCCAGGGACACGTACAAGTCTTCCTGGCCACCCTCAAGGAGGGTGCGGTAAGTTGTAATTTCCTGTTCCAGTCGCGTCTTGATACTGAGCAGAGCACTGTATTCCTGATTCTGGCACTCCACCTCTGCCCGGACCTCACTGAGCTGTTGCTCCACATTACTGATCTGGTTCTGGATCTGCTGCAGCTGCCCACAGTAGCGGTTCTTTGTGTCTTCCAAGGATTTCTCCAGGGATGATTTCTAGGGGGCAAAAGGAGGCTTTAAGAGGGATGCTACCCCATAGACATTCTTCTTCCCACTCCTAGGGATAACACCAACCCTGCCAGAAGGTCTATAGCAGTACTACCAACCATGTTTTGCTGAGACTGCAGTTCAATCTCCAACTCCTGGGCACTGTGCCAGAGCTGGGACACCTCTTTGGTGCTGGATTCCATCTCCTGGCTACTGGTGGTCACCTCCTGCTCAATCTGGCTTATCTGCAAAACCAAAAGCTCAATAAGGACATGACTGTCCCAAGATCTTCAGCAGGTAAAGCTCTGTCCCCACCCCCAGGATCTTCATCTCCAGGACCAAGTATAAGTCAAAGCAAACAACAAAACATTCTGAGTTCTGGGTCCCTCCAGCCATCCAAGATTGTCCAGTTCTCTCAACATAGTATTCCCCTCCCAGTAAGATTTCAATGCCCTTCACACTTTGATCTTAAACCACCTTCCTAACCTTATTTCAAACTGCCTCCACCTTTCAAACACACACACACACACACACACACACACACACACACACACTCTATAGTGCTACAATGCTTTTATATGCCAGGCTCTATGCTAGGCACTGGACACTCAAGGAGGATGGACACTATCAAGGAGCTCAGTTTAGTATGGGAAGAACATTATATCCCTCTACTAGATTCTTTCATCATATAGCACTGTAGTGAGTTTTTAATGCTCTGCTTTTGTTCACACACTTAAACTGTGAACTTCTCAAAGGCAAAAATATTATTTGGCTCATCTCTGAGATATCAGCACTCCACATAAAACCTGGCACTGAGAAACTACTCTCTAATTATGTTTGTGTGCCATGAATGAAGATGGATGGATGACATTCATTGGAAGATGGACGAATGATAGTTGCACTGAGAGATGGAGAGGTGGGGAAATGAAGGGATGAGAGAAGAGAAGGAGAGATGGAGAAGTGAATAGAGGAATAGAAGATTTAATGGGAAACCCTCTCTTATCACCTGAGACTCATACTGTTGTTCAATGTCCTGACGGTTCTTGGCAATGAGCTGCTCATATTCCTGGCGCATATCATTAAGGATCTTGGTGAGATCTTTGCCCGGAGCAACATTTATCTCCACATTGACATCCCCAGAGTTCTGTCCAGTCAACTGGCTCATTTCCTACAAGGAAAAAGGGATATGAGGCTGGGTTAAGGAGCTCCTCCACTACCGCCACCATGGGTAAAGCTAAGTAGGAGCCAGAAGTGTCCACCTCAAGTGCTGTTTCTACTCTTCTGTCCCTGCATCTCCCCAATACACCATAAGTAATCTGGGCCTTACATCTTGATGATTTTTCTTGAGGGCCATCAACTCCTCCTGCATAGTCTCATACTGCATCTCCAGGTCAGATTTTTCCATGGTCAGGTTGTCCAGCACCTGGCGCAGGCCATTGATGTCAGCTTCCACTCCTTGCCTCAGGTGCTGCTCCATCTCAAACCTGCAGACCATCCACAGGTAGGGAATCATCAAGAGGGAACCAAGCACTACAGAGACATCCGTACCACTAGGGTATGGGAAAGCACTGATGGCAAGAGAGGGAGAAGTGAGCAGGACTCACTTCATCCTGAAGTCATCCAGTGTCATGCGAGTGTTGTCAGAATCCAGGAGAGTTTTGTTGTTGTTCGTTGTCACATCTGCAATCTAAAAGAGAGATGTCAGCATAAACCATGTTCCCTGCTATGATCCACTGCTGTGTGGGCAAGAAGCCAGGCAAAGCTGTAAGAGATAAAGATCTGATCCAGGAAGATATTCAAGAGTTAAGAGACACTTTCAGCAGCTTATACATATCACAGACCCCTTACAGACTTCAGCGTGGATGTTCAGTGTGGCCTTAATCAATTCATTCAACAATTCTTAAGATCTACTGCAAATAACAGTGTGAAGTTTAGAGATCAAGCACATTCTATTTCTCAAAGAGCCCACCATCAACTCCTAAGTACAAAGTACACTCTGTCTTCAAAAAGAGTTCAAAGAAAGGAGAGGTGACTTATAGCTATGGAAAATCAAGAAAGACTTCAGAAAGGAGATGGTAATTGAATTGAGCCCTGAAGGATGGCTTGATTCTTTTTGCACATGCAAAAGTAGATTGAAAAAGGTTTGGGGTAGAAGAAACAAGACATCCAGAGCATGAATGTATAAAAGCTAAGAGTGAGAACAGGGAAGAGACAAACTGAAAGCTTCTTACGGTCAGAGGCTAAGTCAGATACATCACTATGTCAACTTAGAGTAACACGGAAGGTAGTCACTCACTAAACTGAATGGATGAATAAGTGGATAGACAGACAGGCATGTGGATGGATGGATGGATGGATGGATGGATGGATGGATGGATGGATGAATGGATGGATAGATGGATGAATGGATGGATAGAAAAACAGATGGATAAATCCCCAAAATTCTAGATCCTCTCAATCACTTGAATAATCTCCATGTGTATATGGGTCCAAAAAGCCTGATAATAAAAAGATAGGCCCTTATAGGAGCCCAGGAGTAGTAAGAAAGGAGAGATAGGGTTGACTGGGGACCAACCCAGATGGAGACTTCACATCCAGTCCCAGTCTCACCCATTTCAATCAGGCCACCTCCTTGCTGTACCCAGATTCTGAATTTTGGAGGGAAGTAGAGATGAAAACCCAGAGCACAGGCTGAAGTCCCAACCCCGGGATTCTCAAGAGCCAAACACAAGTCCGTTTCTAATGAAAGCTTAAAAGTTTCCAAAAGATGGATTCCCTGGCTACTATCTAAGCTTAAAATATAGCATCTTACCTTTTTAGAAGATAAAGCATATATGTGAGAGAGACAGAAATGTGTGTTAGAAAAAGAGGCGGGGAAGGGGGAGGGGGAGAGGAGAGTTTCCTGCACCTACCTGGTTCTTGAGATCATTAATAGTGTTGTAGTAAGGAGCGTAGTCCTTTTGTGAGGCATTGGGTCCCCTCTTGTCGTACCAGTCCTGAATCTTACTCTCCAGACTGGTATTGGCTTCCTCAAGTGCTTGCACTTTGTCCAAGTAGGAGGCCAACCGGGTATTGAGATTCTGCATGGTTACCTTCTCATTAGTAGTCAGGATGCCATCATCACTGCCTCCAGCACCACCTCCAAAACTACCTCCAAAGCCCCCAGACCCACCAAAGCCTCCAGACCCACCAAAACCCCCAGAGCCACCAAAGCCTCCTCCAGAACCACCACCAAAGCCACCTCCAGCACCACCACCAAAGCCACCTCCAGCACCACCACCAAAGCCACCTCCAGCACCACCACCAAAGCCAACTCCAGAACCCCCAAAACCACAAGAGCCTCTTCCGGAACTTCCAAAGCCTCCTCTGGAGCCACTATTCCCACCAAAACTTCCTCCAACACTACCACCAAAACTCCTAGACTGTCCCCCAAAGCTTCCAGCACTAAAACCACCCCCCGATCCTCCACCATAGCTGGAGCCAAAACTGCCACCACCTCCCCTTCCACAGACACGAGAGCTCCCCCCGCCATAGCCACTGGAAGAGCTGAATCGGCCCCCTCCTCCTCCGGCCCCTGAGGTGCTACGGCGGCTGTAGGAAGACCTCATGCTGCCCCCACCTCCCCCACCGACCCCACCACCCCCACAGCTGCTGCG